TGGTGGTGGGCTGGGGGGTTGGGGTGATGGCGGTGGTGGCGGGCTGGGTGGCTGGGGTGATGGTGGCGGTGGCGGGCTGGGAGGCTGGGGTGATGGCGGCGGTGGCGGGCTGGGGGGCTGAGGTGATGGTGGCGGTGGCGGGCTGGGTGGCTGGGGTGATGGTGGCGGTGGCGGGCTGGGTGGCTGGGGCGATGGTGGCGGGGGCGGGCTGGGTGGCTGTGGCGATGGCGGCGATGGCGGGCTGGGTGGCGGGGGCGATGGTGGCGGTGGCGGGCTGGGAGGCTGGGGTGATGGCGGCGGTGGCGGGCTGGGGGGCTGGGGTGATGGGGGATAGGGCGGGTAGGGTGATGGCGGCGGTGGCGGGCTGGGTGGCTGGGGTGATGGTGGCGGTGGTGGGCTGGGTGGCTGAGGCGATGGTGGCGGTGGCGGGCTGGGAGGCTGGGGTGATGGCGGCGCCGGCTGGCTGGGGGGCTGGGGTGATGGTGGCGGTGGCGGGCTGGGGGGCTGGGGCGATGGCGGCGATGGCGGGCTGGGGGGCTGGGGTGATGGTGGCGGTGGGGGCCTTGGTGGTTGTGGAGGATTAGGCGGGCTTGGGGGTAATGGCAGTGGTTTCGACTCTGTCCAAACCCATGTCTCATCAGTACGCAGCAACACAGTATTGTTCGGAGCGAACAGTGTCCCTGATACCCAACTTGGGCCCCAGTCGTTGCAGGCTTCTAAGGCCAGGATGTTGTGGCCCGCCAGCAGGTCGACAGAAATGAAGGTCAGTACCCTAACAATTGACGCTTTTGGAAGAAGGCTTATACTGTTCACAAACAGTGTAGCATTATCGTCAGCTTCCAGATGGAAATTCGCGTTGGTAACGGGATCTGGTGTGTAGTAGGACTTGTAGAAATACTTGCACTGGTAATCCGGTGGACAAGTCCCCCCGGTGCAGTAAGCGTAAGGATCAGACCAGATTTGAATGGCATTCGGATCCGTCGTAAAGTTAATTACTGCAGACTGGCCGAAGAAAGTGCTGACACCTGCATGCATTTGCATTACACACACGTTTTTGTTGATGTTGGTGTTGTGTTGTACGTGTTTACAAACTAACTGTTTTGTCGTCTAAAGTTAGATGCGTATCCTAGGATAACAGATAGGGATAGTCCGTATTTATTATACCAGGGCACGCTGGGTCCGTAAACGATAAAAGTGTTTCACAGACGACTGTTGTATCACGTCTTTTTGCAGGAAAGAACCGATCGGCGGATGACAAATCCCGTGATACCCAGGATACTACAACAACCCCTTGCGAATTGCATCAGGCAAGTTGTTATGTACACGGGATCGGTCACCGATGGACGATTGGCTATCACCAATTTTATCACCAATTTCTACTTTATTTTTTTTGAATTCTTGGAGTCTTTGGGGGCTCAGCCTTATGTCAATGATGATTGTGGGTTCTGAGCCTTCTCTTTGGTCGCGCTTTTGGCTGTCTAGATGACTTGCGTTGTCTCATTTGGGTGGGAGTCTAGTTTGTCTTGTTAGTCTCTAGTGCAGCGCACGGCCCACCACAGTACTTATTTTCCTCCTTGTCGACAGCCGTCTCCACCAGTCTCCACTGGGGCCCATAGGGCTGATGTAAGCTAAATATGTTGCTGCAAGTGCTTTTGTAACATTCTTGCTTATTTTAGTGAGATAAGAAAAAAGTTATTTAAGTTACTTCGTGTGTTAGGCAGTTAGTAGAGCTGCGACATACGAAGCTCTTATCGCCGTTGGTAAGTATCGCTGTAGTTGGTACCAAGATGCCTCTAAGTAATTACTAAGCAGATAAGTGGGATCCTAGGATAGGTCCGTTCCACGAGTGCTGTAACACACGTATGTAACTTTGGACGCCTGGCACATCGGGCCCGGGCTTGGGGCCTCCGACTTGACCTTGCAAGTGCATAGATAAATATCTTATCGTTTTCCGCAGTGCAATGAAACGTTCCCGTGACTTAGCGGCGGGTTGGTGCGGATTATAAGGGTGCATTTCCAGTGCGGATTAAGGCCAGGGATTAGGGCACGGAAGTCCTTGGTACGAGCTTACCACATAGTTTTGTTCCATAAGGGAACCAAAGGTTGAAAAGGCGAGGTAACTTTGCCAACAACTTAGCCGTTTGAGCAAGTATCGATGGAGGACAGAGGGTTAATCCCTGGCCTTAATCCGCACTGGAAATACGCCCAAAATACCTTAATCCGTGACTTTTTAATCCAAGTGGAAACACCCCCTTTGTCGTTGTTCTGATTTTTCTTGTAGCATTATTCAGCCAGACGCAGCCATAAGAAGTGTAGTGGCTGGCCGCTGAAAAGGCCTCTTAATTAAGATGCCGGTGGAGCGTCGTATGGACGAGATGTGCGCCATACTATCTACAGCTACTGTTGCCCTAAGTTGTTATGGGATGTAACATATATTGACAATTCGCAGTCCGACCGACAAAATTTTCTCTAGTAGTCTGGTCTGATCTGGTGACACCTTTGTGTATATGGAGGTTCTGGGCTCGATTTCTGCTCAGACCCCCGACATTGTTCGGGAGATCTAGGTTTACTGTCGCTGCCGAGGTGTGGAGATGAGGTGTACTTGATGGACTGAGTTTCGCATCCTGAGATGGTTGTGATGGCTGATCTGTCTCTACGGATGTCGGGTGACTGGTTGAGGAGGGGTCTACTTGGCAGGACCCAAACCGCCGTCAGTTATACAGTGTAATCTACTTTCAATACATATAGTCAATGGCCTCCCGGCTTTGACGGAACACCCCCCCCCAACTCGTGCAGCACTTGTAACTTGTAACTTGTAACTTGTAATACTGGATTCACATGCTACGTTACGTTGCGAAAACTTTTTTGGAAAAGTGGGCCTGAAAAAGTCACCCAGTTCACATGGGACATTACGACGACGTTGTGTTCGTTGGCGCGAGCTGTGTAAACCATCTCCATTTTATGTCTTTCAATGGCCAAAACTTCAGCACATCCCCTTAGAATCGCAATATATAATTGACGGGTTATTGGCAGCCCTGCCTACTGCAATGGCACTGCATCCCGCGCGAGCCGCGATGGCGTTTGCCCTAGCGGCCGCTATGGATGAAATTTTTGACAACCTTGAGGATATGTTCAATTCTCAATGGCAGTGCTTGCGCGTGTGGGCTGACGCGGCGCGGCCCATGCCGCCGGAAGTGCGGCCGACTTGCCATTTCGCGGATGGCTTCAGCCCTGATACTACAATGGGTTACATATTGGCTATGTAAGGGGTCGTGCGCGGGCGAGCAACACGAGCGGCGTTGTCCTTGTTCATTTTTATAATATAAGGCAGCGGTGTGACTAGAAATTCAGTCGGAGTGCAAAGCGCGCACAATTTGTCAAGTATGTGGTCTTTATAAGCGATTGGGCTTGGCCGTTTGTTATAACTCGCGAAATTGGCGACGCATTTCAAGTAACGGTACGAGGGGTCAGCGTTTGACGAAATTGACCCCCCCCCCCTGGTCACTTTAGACTTTTCGTCCACTTTACCGGTAACGTACCGTTACCACGTCCGAACCGACCACTTTTACCCAAAAAGTTTCAACGTAACGTAGCATGTGAACTGGCTATAACTTGTAACTTGTAACTTGTAACTTGTAAGTAGTCCAGTAGTAGTAGACTTCTGATGACTGTTGGGGGGTTAATATGTAAAGTACGTATACTACTGTTATTAAATTGGGTATTACACCCAGCGATTTGTATCGATATTCCTTGACTAGATTAACCGCCACACGTACATACATATGCACATACCCCTCTTCGCGCCCGCTACCCGGTCTTGATGTGGGTAGAAGAATCCAGGGATGAGCTGCCCTGACTGCCCTTGGTCGGTCTTGAGGCGGCACACACGGCTACTGCGAACATAGTCCCAGTAGCGGCAGGTGGGGCTGCTGTAGCAGGCCTGACAGCAGGCCGCTTCGTCGGGCTGGTCACTGGTGGACAGCGTGGAGGAGTCGAAACCGTACCCAGCGCCGTACAGAACCTGGAGCGTGCAAGCTGAACATATATAGAGGTGGCAAGAATGGTGTGGTGGGTTGTCGTCTGTAAACTAATGGAAGACTGTGTCACGACGATCGGTAAAATCGTTTTGGGGTTTTATAGACAGCAGAGCCATCGTACGTATAACAAATTTGTTATACAGTCCTATTTAAATAGGATTAAGAGATCGTATCTAGACAGAGATTCATGTTATAGAATGGTCTATAATAAATCGTACCATGTTATAGTTTAAACCCTGTTTAGGCAATGCACGTGCATCATATGTGGCGGGATAGATTGATGAAAATTAACTTCACCCATTCCACAACATTTGATCAACGACGATTAATCAGTAAGACAACGGTGATGACGGCTTGCAGTAAATCTTCACGTGCAATTGCAAGCTTGTGGATGGCTACCGTCACCACGCAGGGCACAATCCTCGCGTAGTGTTAAGTAAAGACACGGTGTTGATGAGGACTCCAGGTTAGCAGCTTCCTACCAATCCACCTAGGAGAGTGTAAACCCTTGGTTGGCCATATGCGTACCCATACATGGCTATATATGGCTAGTTGTCCAAGTAGCCAACGCGTCTCATGTCCTCAAACAACGAATAATGCCGTCCGTCAAGATCATCACCTGCAGGCATGCCGTAAACCTGAAGCTCCGCAATCGCTATAGGGGTTAGGTTGAAATTGTGGTTCCGAACCAAAAGAGTGCGACCGGTCCTAGGCGGGTTGAGGTTAAGGAGGATTACGCCGCCAGTCGTGCCAGGTCCGGATGATGCATTATCGAGACGGTAATTATAAAAGTAGTTGGTCGGATCCGATGGGATAATGGCGACACCTCCAAGGCTGAACTCAGCATTCACCACCTCATGGCCGCAGCAGTCTCTGCGGTGGTATAGAGCTATACTGGAGATGGTCATCGCTTCACCAAAGTCGATCACTAGCCATTCGCCTTTACCGATGCCGCTGATGAAGGTGCTGCTGTTGCTGCCTGCTGGGGGAATGATTCCATCAATGGCATTGACAGGAGCGTATTGGCTGGAAAACTGGGTTGACCCGTATACGGTCTTCCCGATGGCGATGTTGTTGAAGGGTGGTGGGGGAGGGGGTGGTGGCGATGACGGCAGTGGTCCTGGAGCGAGGGGATGGAGGACACGATGGGCGGGCATGGTTGGATTGAAGGTGGCAGCTCATCATCACCCAGGTGATAATAATGGGGATCATGGCTCAGAAAAGAAGTACGGCACACAGCCTGTTAATAAGCATGCTGATGTGCGTGTGTGTACACATACGTGTAGGTAGTGTAGGTAGTGTAGCAGCCGGTACACTGTACAGCACACAAAAAAATAAGTACGCGTCTATGAGCATCTCGAGAGGCTTTTTCTGCAGCCAGCAGTTATATTTAGTATCTTGACCGCGTGGAAGTTCTCAATCCTGAAGTCGTCGGTTCATTCCCCAACTATCACGCTTGGTGGAATATCGGGTTAGGTGACTCAATGCCCAATAACCGCGACAATATGTCGCTGAACTGACTGGAATGTCTCTGTGCCTTGAGACGGCGAGACGCACGTGAGAGCGACACATGACGAGACGTGGACTGGTCACCCACTGCCCGAGGATAGGTGAAGGTAGGCACAAGCTGGTGGTATATGTGGCCGTAAGGGTCCGAGACGGATGCCCTTGGGCCTTCGGCTCGTATGGGTAGTTTTACAGGCATGGGGTCACGCACCCCCAACCATGTAACACACACACACATACAGGATCCCTTCAAAGGGGGGGATGCAGTAGCTGGTACACACATAACAACTACAAGTGCGCGCTAAGCGTGTCCACCAGCATCTCGAGAGGCCTTTTCAGCGGGGCCAGCTACTACTGTCAGCCAGGTAACAAGCAGTAAACACTCGGGAAGCGACTTGGTCATGGATGTGGTCATATGGGGGGTTTTCTGTCATAGACCTGGTCAATGTTGCCTCATGACAACGCATGAGGCCTCATGACCGGTCATGTATTTACAAACACCGCAGTTCTAGCACAGAAATGTTGGTCGCATGGCATTTGAACCAAACAGCAAGATTGATGAGGAAGGTGGCACCTTCATGTGAGCATTTGGATTACAGCAGATCTGGTCCTGGGACCGGGACCTGGACCAGGACCTGGCTGCGCCATGTACCGTGGCGGACATATGTATGGGGTTACGGCATCATACAATTGTTATCCCCTCGCTTATTAATTGGTACGATGTGTAGCTGCAGCAGTGGTTAGCTAACTTGCTAGATAGCCGTATGATAAGGCCGCGGCCGCGGCTGTATGTATGTAAGTGAAGCCCTTGCCTGCTGGCCGCCTGAACAGTCGAAGCAAGGACATACATAGTGCAGGCATATATTATTTACCTTGCGCGGCCACTGACGGCGGTGGTAATAAGATGCAGCACAGCAGTGCTACTTGTAGGGGTAGCAGCACGGGTAGTTGCATTTGCATGGATAATAATTGTAGGCTGCCGCGCCGTACGATCATTGTCGTCCACCCTTCTGTGAGGTCGCATGTATATATGTCTGTATGTATATATGTTCCTACGTATGAACAAGACAGCTACCTCCTCAAGCAGGGCTGAACGTGCATGGCTGCCTTCGTTACCAAAGCTTCTATCTCGCTATATCTGCTGACCCTGGCTCACTTGACTGCGTCGACTAAAGTCGTGCAGATGCGGCCGCCGGCCGTAGCTGTTATTATCAATAATAATATTACCCAATATTATTGTATTATTAACATAGTACTAATATTAATAGTATTAGTATTAATGATATTATTATTGTACTGCTGCTGCTCCTTAGC